GAGAGAGAGAGAGAGAGAGACAGAGAGAGAGAGACAGAGACAGAGAGAGAGAGACAGAGAGACACACACACACACACAAAGTGCCGAATTTTCGTGGAAGTTTTTGGTGAACGGCCACAATCCTTAGCGACGCCAAGCAAAACAGAGCAGCAGGCAAGCAGCAGAAAGACAACCACCACCACTGCGTTGAACACACAGCACGCATCAGACACAGACGCATTGCCACGCGCACGCAACAGGAATACACGCACGCCAGAGATACACGGTGTGAGCGACATGCCTGTTCAAAGTTACTACGACACGCTGGGGCTCCAGCGAAGCGCGCTTCCAGCAGACGTCCGCAAAGCGTACGTTTGTGCTGCATTGTGTTTGGTTGTTGTGTTGTGTTGTGTTGCGTGTGTGAGTGAGTGCGCGCGTACATGTGTGCGTGTGTGCGTGTGTGTGTGTGTGTGTGTGTGAGTGTGGCAACGTCTCATCTTACCGCCGTGTGGTCGTTTGTGATGTCATACCCACATTGATTTGGCTGTAGGTATCGCAAGTTGAGCTTGGAGAACCACCCTGATCGCAACAAGAGCATTGATGCAGAAGCAAACTTCAAGCGCGTTGCAGAAGCATATGTCGTCCTCAGCACACGTGCGCACAGTTGCCTGCGCGCGCGTATGTGTGTGTGTGTGTGTGTACCAAGGATGGATCACGTTTGCATGAATGAATGAGACGATGGATACCTCACACACGCCTTGCTGCATTGTTTATCTGCTTTGCAGCGGATCTCCGTGCCATTTATGACCAATATGGCATGGAGGGCTTGAGCTCTGGTGCACCAAAGGGACACGACGGTGTGTATGTGTGTGTGCATGAATGTGTGCGTAAATGTGTGCGTGAAAGTGCATGTGTGTGCGGGGAAGTGCATGTGTGTGTGCGTGAAAGTGTGTGTATGTGTGAATGCGTGTGCATGTACGTGCGTCTGTGCGTCTGTGTGTCTGTGTGTCTGGCATTTTTGAATCCAGTCCTTGCATGAATCTCACTACATACTACATGGCCGGTGTTGTGATGCGCAATGCAGGCTACACAGATCCATGGGTATTTGATGGAGATGCACACAAGGTCTTCCGTGAATTCTTTGGCACAGACAACCCTTTCCAAGGTGTGTGCGTGTATGTGGATGTACGAACATGTGTGTGTGCATGTGTGTGTCACGCATGTAATTGTATTTGTGTGCGTGTGTGTGTGTGCTCTCCTGATTGCTTCTGTTGTCAATGTGCATGCTCGCAACGCCCCATGACATGCTTCTGTCACTGCCGGCCCGTGTTCTCATCTCCCACCATCACCACCATCACCACCACCACACTCGCTACCACCACAACAATCACCACCACCACCACTGTGCTGTCATCGTGGCAGACTTGTTCCCGCCACAGGACGAGTTCCAGCTTGGCCCTGGGCCGTCTGTTGCGCAGCGTCTGCGGCGGCACCAGAGCCCTCCCATCGAGTCAGACCTCTACATCTCGCTCGAGGAGGCATTCACGGGCTGCGTCAAGAAGCTCAGAATCACACGCAAGGTCCCGCCGTGTGCTGTGTGCTGTGTGTGCGTGTGTGTGTGTGCGCGCGAGAGAGAGTGTGTGTGCGCGCGAGAGAGTGTGTGCGTGCGTGTGTGTGTGTGTATGCGTGTATGCGTGTGTGTGTGTGTGTATGCGTGTGTGCGCGCGAGAGTGTGCGTAAGTGTGCGCGTATAAGTGTGTACGGCCGTGGTGCGCACGTTTGTGTGGTGGAGTGCGGGGTTGTGGATTGTGCATGCTGTGTGTTGTTGAGCGTGGAAACACGTTGGCCGCGCGTCCTCACTCTGACATGCACTGACGGTTGCATTGCGCCACATTCGTTTGCGTTCATGTGCAGGTGTTGAACGACGATGGACACACAACGACACAGCGCGACAAAATCCTCACTGTGAATGTGAAACCCGGCTGGAAGGAGGGCACGCGAGGTATGATGGAGACTCTGCTGGGCGTGCATGCTTGTGATGATAAGTGGTGATGGTGATGTTGTTGTCATTATTGTGGTGTCACACGTCTCCAGCGGCATGCACATCACCCAAGCCTCACACACGTCAACACACATACGCACGCACACACATACGTACGCGCACACACGTCAACACCCGTACACACATGCGAACACACACACGTAAACACACACACACACACGTAAACACACACACGCACACACACGTAAACACACGCACACACGCACACACGCACACACACACACACACACACACACACACACACACACGTAAATACACGCACGCACAGTGACGTTCCCGAAGGAGGGCGACCAAGGCCCGAACAACATCCCGGCGGACGTCGTGTTTGTCATCAAATACAGGGACCACCCGCGCTTCCGACGAAAAGGGAATGATCTCATTCACACCACGCGCGTCAAGCTCTCCGATGCGCTGTGCGGCTGCGGCATTTCGCTCCTCACGCTCGGTCCGTTGCTACCGCTGTTGAACCTAACAACCGAAGCGTTGGTGAATGTGTGCATGTGTGTGTGTGTGTGTGTCCTTGTGCTTGTGCTTGTGTTTATGTGATGTTGTGATTGTGGCTGTGATTGTGTTTGTTCCAGCGCATGCGTTTTGTGTTGTGTGCATGTGTTTGTTCGCTTTGAGTCCTGTGGCGTGAAGCCATGAGCGAAAACTTCATTTCACTTGCCGCAACATCCATTCATTCGCACCCGTTTATTCACATCCGTTCACTCACATCCGTTCATTCACATCCATTCATTCACATCCGTTCACTCACATCCATTCATTCACGTCCATTCATTCACATCCATCACTCACCCAACACCACCACCACCGCCGCCGCTGCGTCTCCTCCCTCGCCACAGACGGGCGCCAGCTGAACATCCCTGTCAACGACGTGATCACCCCCGCATACATGAAGCGCGTGCCCGGCGAGGGCATGCCGCACTCCAAGGACCCGGCCACTCGCGGCGACTTGGTGGGCTGCACGGTGCTCGTGGGCAGTGGTGGTTTGGGAGTGAGCATGACGGCGTGCCATGATGTGTTTTGTATGCACACAACTAGCGTTTGCACTCTGGGACAACTGGTTTTTGTTTTGTTTTGTCATCCCTTGTCCCAACACACACACTCGCACTCACACGCACACTCACACTCGCACTCACACGCACATTCGCACACTCGCACTCACACTCACACTCACACTCACAAACACACTCACACACGCACTCACACGCACTCACAACACCAGATTATCAAGTTTGACATTTTGTTTCCGGCAAATCTCACGGACGACAGCAAGCGGCTCATTCGCGCCGCGCTGCCGTGACGTGACCATCACTCCTTGATGTGGGCCACACCCCATGTTTCCTGTCTCCATGTTTCCTGTCCTGGCCATGTTTCAGGCCTTTTTGTTGGTTTTGTTGATGATCTTGGTCTTTTGTGGTGGTGGAGCGAGGTTGAGTGGTGCGGCAGGTATTGTTTTGTTGTGAACGTGACGTACGTGCTTGTGCGTTCCCGTGTCTGTCCCCTCCATTGTTTGGTTGCTTATCCTGGGCAGTATAACAAGCATGATGAGCAAGGCCTTTTATGGTTTGAAGCGGTCGTGTTTACAGTGTGAGGCTGTAGGAACAAGCAAATGTATGCACAGAGACAAACACAAAGATGCACGCGTGCATGTGACGTGCGCACATACACAGAGGCACAGACAGACACACAAACACAGAGAGCGAGAGAGAGAGAGAGAGAGAGAGAGAGAGAGAGAGAGAGAGAGAGAGAGAGAGAGACGAGAGAG